GTTTATATATTTTCTAATCTATTTGTAAACCCTCAAATGATAAGATTATAAAATCACTAGTCTTTTTAGGCACCCCGGTGGCAAAATGGTTAAGTGACTGGCTGCTAACCAAAAGGTCAGATGTTCAAACCTCCAAGTTACTCTGTGGGAGAAAAGAGCTGGCAATCTGATTCTGTGAAGAGGCAGTTCTCTGTCCTATAGGGTCATGATGACTCGACAGCACACAACATTGATACCTGGCATGATTACATGACTTTTTCACTCACAATCTCTGAGAAAGATGCAAGGGAAAAAAAAAAAAAAAAAAAGACATATAAAGGGATTTATTGCACACAAAAAAAACTTGCAGAACCCAGCAGCCAAGTCTAAAGCCTTTGAAATTTTAGCAAGTGTAGCTCCGAATAACATAGTAAGGATGTTCCAAGGAACTGTCCTAGATTAAATCAAAGAAACATTGACGTATTTTCAAAATCCGGTGTAAGGCTTGACCTTCAGTGTTTTAAAAATGCAATTAACCAGAAACTATTCTTCACCAAATAATCCTAGTTAATTGAGGTTTTATTAGACAGGCAGTTCATGATAACTAAAAAAATATTTCCTAGACAAAATGCTTATAAGTCTAGTCCCTCAGTTCTCTGCTAACCAGCCCCAGCTATGTAAATAGCTCCTAAAAGAATTGAATATTGTCAAAAACACAGAGTTCTCCTATAACACAGAGTGGCAGGAAGCTGGAGTCTAGGGACACATACACATGCATGCACTGTGGCAGGGGATCATCCTGTAAATTATATTAATTTTACAGAAATTTATTTTGCTGGTTCAAGAAAGAGACCAAATACCAAATGGCTGAATTATAACACAGGAAGATCCTGAGACTGCTCACTCAGGATAAGAATCCTCTTGAGTAGGGCTCCTGGTAACCATGGGGACCAGCAGGTTTCCTTGATATTTATTTATCTTAGGACTGGAGATAACCATATTCTTGCCCTGCCATGAAATCCGGCAATTACTTACGATGATGCAGAGTTAATCAATTACACAATCAAATTCTACCTTTAAATATTTTTCAAAACCTGCATGTTTCTGCCATGTACCACCACAACGTGAGGTATGGTCTAATTTTTTTTTTTTTTCTTTCTTTTTTTAAGATTTCTTTTGGCTGTGAATTCATTCTACTCCTCTCTCAAACTCTTCTTCCCCAGTAGGATTGGAGGAAGAGGTTTTGATTTCTCTTCTATTATAACTGCTAAGCAAAATGAAGTGCTCCACCTTAGTGTTGGGCATATTTTATGAGGATTCAGAAAAAGTCAGTGGATTTCACCACCATGGAGTACTCTTACCACACTAGCACTTCTGTTAGATACGTCCTACCAGCTGCTCCTTGGAAACCCTATGCAGTCTCACTATGGGTTGGAACCCACTCAACAGCATTTAACAACAACAACCATATTCATATTTCTATTAGATACACCCGACCATACTTGTGGAGTCCTGGTGTGGCACTGTGGGTTAATGTGCTGGACTGCAAAGTCGTTTGAACGGCAAGGTTGGTGATTCAAGCTCACCAGCTGCTCCTCAGAAACCCTATACAGGGCTGCTATGGGTCAGAACTGACTCAACAGCACTTAACAACAATAACAACCATACTTGTATTTCTATTAGATACATCCTACCATATTCGTAAGGAGCTCTGGGAGCACAGAGGTTAGCCAGGGTACTATTTTCACAGTCAGCAGTTTGAAACTACCAATGGTTCTGCAGGAGAAAGATAAGGCTTTCTGCTCCCATAAAGATTTATAGCCCCGGAAACCTTATGCAGGGTCACTATGAGCTAGAACCGACTCTACAGCACACAACCGTTACCACCACCACCACCACCATATTCATACTTCTATTAGATACACTTGGTGTTTCGTTTTGTTTTTTAATTGATAGCATCATAAAGGGAAAATGTCTTCTGTTTTCTAACAGCTGCTGGATAAAGTTTCAAATACAAATGCAACTATTTACAAGTTAGAAGCTGCCATGTCATTATATTTTTTTAACTTTTCAGAAAAACTTGCTCAAAATATAATAAAATAAATAAAAGCCACAAAAATTAAATATCACCAATTCTTCTACTCCCTGGAGCAGGGCACATCATGCTTGGTAAAGTAGCAGGTTAGAGAAATGGAAGAAGATCCCCATGTGATGGACTGGCACTGTGGCAGCATCAATGGGCTCAAATTTAACAACAGTTGTGAGGATAGCACACTACCAGACAGTGCTTGGTTTCATTATGCAAAGGGTTTCTATGAATCAGAACCGACACGACAGCACCTAACAACAACAACAACAGCATTCTACTACTACTGGTGAGCAATCTTGAAACTGATCATATCTCATACGCAGCAGCTATGGTGGAAAATCCAAGACTCTGCCACATCCAGTATTTTTCTACAAACAAGATGCATTAATACACCAGAGACACTCAACTTTCCAAGAGCATCTTTTATTCCTTCAGTGAAATAAATCTCTTCTGCATCATTTCTTTAAAGTCTAGAACTTACAGTCACTAACATCTCCCTTTTTAAAAAGATGTGGTCATTGAGAAATGACAATGTGGGCTTCAAAACTGCATCAACAAGGAAAGAGATGCTAGTGGGTGCCAATACCTTGGACCAAAGCAAATACAGGCAGTCCCTGGGTTACCGTTCAAGTCCAAAAAGTCAACTTAGGGACAGCTCATGTTGCTGTTGTTAAGTGCTGTCAAGTCAATTCTGACCCTATATAGGGTTTCTGAGGAGCAGCTGGTGAACTTGAACTGCCGACCTGACATTCAAACAGCTTTGCAGTCTGGCACATTAACCCACTGTGCCACACCAGGACTCTAGTTGACCAACAGAAGGTCCATTATCTGGTCCTCATCACTGTAGATACTCATACATTAAGCACTAACAGCTCAATCCTGCAACCTGCAAAAATATATCTAAGTATTGCTCACATCTTCCCCACCCAAAAACAGTCTCTAAGATCACAGCTTTCGGGTTTTGGGGAAGTCTTCTTTCTTCATGGAAACCGTGTCTGGATTACACATTTCCCTGGTTCTCAAGGGGCAGCAAACATTAGCTATAAGCTGCAAATAAATAGCTTCAAAAGATGAACAATTTCTATGGTAGTTTGGAAACACATGTGTACCGTTACAGTACTGGGGTCTTGGCAAGCTCGCTGTTAGTAAAGGAGGAGCTAGAGAGAAGGGACCCCAAGTAATGGGCTATTAAATGCAAATAACACCAATGTTGAGTCCTTCCCTGGGGCTCAGCACTGGGAAGGGAGGACACAAGCAGAGACAATGTAAGGGGACAGTGGTACCGCCTTCCCTTTTACTGTTCTGCTCCTAATAATAATCCTTAAAGGTTCTGGGCTTCTCTTGTTACATGTTTCCATGTCTGCTAAACCAGGTTTAGAAAGTCTGCTTTGCACACCACGTGCCAAGTCCAGGGACAGAATCCAATTGTAATTGGCTGAACTGGATCTAAAACCTCACAAACCCACAAGCAAAAACTAGGAGAGCTCTTACACTTATTATTATTTTTTTAAATGTGTCTGTCATTGTGGTTATGGAAATAGTTGATTCTAATTTTAACCAACACCTAATACTATTTCAGCACATTCCTCTGGTTAAAGAAAACTATGACTTTCCAGTCAGTGACGGCAGTGACACAGACATGAACTTGGAGAATTCAGCTTCCAAGTTTCAGCCACTTCACTGACTTTAAAAAGTCAATGAAGAAATAAATATAGTCTAATCTACATAGACTGCTATGGCTATCTGACGAGACAGACCATTAGATTCGTATTTTGTAACTAATATTTGATAAAATGAATACACAAAAATTTTGCATCCCATGGGGATGACACGGAAATTTTTGAAGTAAAAGCGATTCTGGCTCTCAATGGGCTTGTAATCTCAGAGAAATAAGCCTTTGGCTCATAAACAGAAGACCCCATTGAAAAAATTTCATAAGAGGAGACCTTGGGAAAATTGGTTGTGTGTGTTGTTGTTGTTTTTTATAAAATAATTCAACAAAAATTATGGCTTAGCTGCTGGTTTATAACATTATAAAAGAGGTCTCAATGAGACAATACTTGGGGCAGAAGTGAAGTTATAGTAGTAGTAATTGGTGGGTATTAATAACAGCCAATATGTATAGAATTCCAAAAACTGTTTTAAAGGTTTGAACATCTAATTTAAACCTCAACTGCTGGTGGCGCAATGACTAAGCACCTGGCTGCTAACTGAAAGATCAGTGATTCAAACCCACCAGCTGCTCCTTAGGAGAAAAGACCTCGCAATCAGCTTTAAAACATTGTGGGATCCAGAGAAGCAGCGACCCCAGAGATGGGGACATGGAGAGATAGAGTAGCTGAAGACTCTAGACTCATGGAAAAAGAAAGGCTGTGTGCTGGTGGCCAGGAGGCAGGCTTGTAGAATGTGCCCTTTGGTTTTTAAATCATTACATATTTCTGAGTATTTCTGTGTACATTCTCTACGCCTCCCTACACCCAAAAAAAAAAAAAAACAGAGGGAAGAGAAGCAAATATTGTTGAATGATGATGCACGGAGGAGACTGTAATGGATGTAATGAAACAATGAGTGTAAAACCAACGTTCTCTCATGTAAACTATCACTCAATTCACAATAAAAACTTTTAAAACAACAAAAACAACGTGGGGCAGTTCTACTATGTCTTACAGTCGCCATGAGTCAGAACTGATTGGGTAGCACACACCACCACCACTACCCTATGAAAGTGGTAACAATAATTACCCCCATTTTATGCAAGAATACAATAGAATTTAGATCAGTTAAATAAACAAACCTGCCCAAGTCATTCAGCTTTTCAGAGGAAAAACTAGGATTCAAATTCAAGAAGTCTGAGTGTGGAACCTATGCTATACTGTTTTGTTTGTTTCTTTGTTATCAAATGATCCTTTATTGAATATTTTCTTTGTAGTTTTTAACTAGATGAGCATTCCACAGCACCACTATTGATGTAACCTAAGATGTCATGAGGGTGGTGGCCATCAACGTTGCAGCCCACTGACAGGGGAGTCCCCAGGATCTTTTTAATAGTCCCAGAGAGTTCTCTGGCCAAAGACCAGTGTTGCATCTGATGGGCAATGCTGATAAGCTCATCTAAACAGATATTTCCACTGTGCTTTATATTTTTCTGCTTCTTTCTGTCTCTGGGTGGTTCCTTGAGAGCTTTGATGATCAGGGCAGAGGCACAAGGCACAAGGCACCACCTCAATATGGGCCTGTCTGTTCTGAATGGTCAGTTTCACTGTAATCCTTAACCCCTTCCAGTCACCAGTTGCTTTGGCAATGTCATCACCAACCTTTTTGGGAGACAAACTCAGGAGGCCAATTTGGGGGCCAGAGCAGATGTAGCCCTGACTTCCCCATCAGTGAACCTCAGGTACACGACTTTGACCACTTTGGGGTTGAACTTGGGAGGCATGGCAGAAGCGGCTGGTGTCGGATGAACCCAGATGCGGGATGATCGTGAAAGCCGAAAAAGCTATGTTATACTTTTAATTACATTGTCTCACATTCAAAGCCCATTAAAGCCAGTCTTATATATTTCCCCACCAGCTGATAAGAAGATGCTAGGTGAAGAGCAAGGGAATCAAGAAGACTCAATGCACCACAGTATCACCACTGCAGTAGTAGTAGTGCAAATCCTGCTGGCTGGTCTAACAAATGTGCTGCTTCCAATGTGAAGGAAGAGGAATTCATGTACATGCAGTTACGGCACGAAAGAATTCTATTTAGTTGATTGAGAGAAAGAAAGTCCCACCCTTTCCTAAAACGCAGATTTATATAGTATAAGGAAATGCACAGTTTGAAGTCTATGGATATTGGTATTTAATAATAATAAAATGATAATAATAATAATAATAATAAAAGCTTACATGCTCAGGCTTTCTGTTTCTTCCTTTTATAGCTTAGTATTCATTCAGATATTTGAAACTTTTATAGCTACCTATCACGAACCTTTTACACAGGCATCAGCCAGAGAAAGGCGAAGACTCTGATTCCTGGGTCCTTAACAAGGCTCTACTGTACTCAGTGTTGTTGTTGTTGTTAAGTGCTGTCGAGTCGCTTCCGACCCATAGCGACCCTGTACAGGGTTTCCGAGGGTGTAAATCCTTACGGGAGTAGAAAGCCTCATCTTTCTCCCGCGGAGCGGCTGGTAGTTTCGAACCGCTGACCTTAAGGTTCGCAGCCCGATTCGTAACCACTACGCTACCAGAGCTCCTTCTGTACTTAGTGTAACTGAGGTTATTTGAGTCATTTCACTCAAATCATCTCTAAGGCATGCAAAGTTCTCCAGAATTTAAATCAAAGTTCTATAAAGCTGACTGAGGCAGTGTGATTTAAAAGGCAACTATGAGAATTATCCAAATGGCTGAATGGAATCATAAAGGCAGGCAGTTATCCCCAGGCTAGCATTAAGGCTTTATTTATGCAGCTAGTATTCCCCTGTCAGTCTACCATGCATGAACCGAAAGGAGTACATTGAAAAAAGAAACTGTATAAAGTTGTTTCAACATGACCCCAATTTCCTAGAAGACTTGTCATTATCCATTTCATTGGAAAAATCCTAAATGTAAAACAAAATGTAACCTCAGTTATTTAGTTTAAATGGCACAGTTTGAAGGAATGCTGTATCTACAGGAGAGATGTCAATTCCAATTGTAAGTTAATCACCTGAGGTGCTTAAAACAATACCATTTCCAGGGTCCCAGCCCAGAACAATTAAGTCAGAATCTTTGGGGATGGTAGTTGGGCATAATTTTTTTTTTTAACGCACCCCATCTGAGTCGCATGTGCAAGCAGGATAGAGAAGTACTAAAAAGGCCAATGTTTTGCTTCCTGGCTACTGAAAATGCTGATGAAAGGCACAATCAGGTTAATCCTATAAAAGGAAATGGATTATTATATAAAGGAGGGGAAAGTTAAAGTTTGATCAATTAAATGTATTTTAGACAAATGAATGAGCCAATGATTAAATAAATGATCTACTAGGGACTCTAAATCTCTTAAGTAAACTGTACGGCAATAAAGTATTGATATATGTTAAGACATAAGCAGAAATATCTTATTTCAAACTCTTCTACTGAGAAGAAACATTCAAAATTCTAAATCTGACCTTTTTGTGCGAGCAGTGTTTACCTTCTGTTGAGAGCCATAAAAGGGAGCACATGCAATAAATTTATTTAAACACACAGAGGCAGATTATGAACAAATACATACATATGCTTAAAATCAGCACACAACTATGGGAGGTATTTGTATAAATATATGTGTCTTACAAAATTCAATTAATGTGTATAGAGAGACTTTGAAACTATGCCTAATATAAAGGCCAAAATTCTGTTTCTACTGTACTAAAAAAATGAGTCATCTATGCGGAAAACACCAGTGTTCTATTCATAGGTTCTTTGGAGGTCTCACTGGAAAAATGAACAGTGCACGCAAGGCTGACGACACATTCTTTACTGCATACATCTGGTTTTCATGTATGCTCTATGCTTCAAAATGCTTACCGTCAAGAATCCTATGTTATAGGATTGACCATTTAGTCCTTGGTCGTATATGCCAATGGCATTCTTGATATAAAAATTTAAGCAAGCTGTTTTTGGGCAACTTCTGGTTTTGCTAATTCATATTTTAAAAAATAACAGGATTAATACAGATTTGTGAGTTATAGTAGATTATATCTGCTAGACTAAAGAATGGTCGTGGTTTGATGCCTCCTAAGATTGGCAGCTGGAGCTCTGGTAGCATAGTGGTTACGACTCGGGCTGCTAATCTCACGGTCAACAGTTTGAAACTACCAGCTGTTCCGCAGGAGAAAGATGAGGCTTTCTGCTCCCATAAAGATTTACAGACTGCTCTGGGTCAGGCTCAGATCGTTACCCCACCTGCCTCATCCTAGAGGCCAGGCTAGAGAGGCAGCCCACCTAGGACACACTTGTCTCAAGATAACCACAGGAACACAAAAGTCCACTTTTAAGGCATCATGATTAAGGCATATCTGTGGTATCAGGTCCTTTCATACTCCCAAAGCCAAACAGGTCATAGGTCAAACCCCAAGTGGAGTAGAAAATATACTCTCATGCAATGGAGGTCAAATGACAAGAGAAGGAAACCGATATAAAAAATATATTTCTAACCTACCACATCTATAAATCCATTAACCAAATAAAAACAAAAACCAATATTCTAGTTAGGTTTTTTCCTCTTCTCAAATAACGTAAAAAAAAAAAAAAAAAAAACAAAACATGTTGATAATCTAAATTTAAAACATCAAAATTGAAAGGCTAAAATAAAACTAACCCGGTAACACAGACTTTAAAAACATTCTATCAAAAACACCCTTATAGTTGGAAATGAAGGTGATGAATTTACATACTGGAACGGTAAGAGAACTCAAAAAAATAAAATGAAGAAGGTGATGTTGGGGTACATGTGAAAATTTCAAGTAAAATGCCTTTATTGTGTGACACTGTGGAATAATGGACTGGGCCACAAGGTCAGTTTGAATCACAAGGTTGGCAATTCAAATTCACCAACCACTCCTTAGAAATCCTATCTATACAGGGTCATTAGGAGTCAGAATTGATTTGAAGGCACTCCACAACAAGAAGAGTGAAAAAATAAGAGATATTCTAAAACCAATGCGTTTAATATTATTTCAAATGTGTAACTAATTATTAATTAACTTCCTGTTGTTTCATATTGTTGTTGTTGTCAGGTGCCATCGAGTCGGAACCGACTCATA